CCTGTATTGACAAAAAAAAAAAAAAAAAGATCCTAAAAGCAACCTAGTAGAAAAAATGGTGTATATATATATATAGACACACCCACAGCTGGTAGCATTAATTTGGATGGAGTCAATAGGCAGTGATGAGGGGGAATTAGGGTAGAGGACCTAGAGGCTACGGGCAGGTGAGGTTATTGCAAGTCATAAATATGATTATTGATAGTTGATGAAAGTCTACAATTACACTCTTTTTTTTAAGTGGTATCTTGAATCCAGAACTTCCTACCTATAATTGCTAATAAATATTTATGTGTATTTTTATGTCTATCATAAGTTCTAAAGTGCAATATGGGATACGTAAATCCTAAGTCCAAAGAAATTTATGAATGATCAATTTGTATACCAAATATACCCCCAAAAAATCGATTGTTATTTAAAATTGAAATCAAACATCCGAAATCAAAATCGATTAACCAAATTAAATTTTACTGGGTTGAAAATTCGGATAACCAATTTTTTGGGGGCATATAATTAAATTTTATTGGGTTGAAAATTCGGATAACTAATTTGATGCTCACCCGACGGTCCGTGGGAAAGGCAAATTGCGTGGGCGGCTAAGAAACATGGTCAAAAAGTCAGCTTTCCTATTTCCACCACATGATTGGTTTAACAATTAACTAGTCCGCTAATAGAAGCAAATTACTTAATGATTAATTATAGGGTTATTATCACTTTATCCCCTTAAACTATATTATTACTATCAGTTTACCCCCTAACGTTGTTATCTTTTTATTACTTTACCCCCATAAGTAAGTCAACTCAACATATTAAGAAATTTTAGACAAAAATATCCTTTTATTTTATAGCATTACGACATTGTTATTATCACTTTATTCGTTTAGATTATAGTGATACAATCACTTTAGTTCCTAACATTATTTTCTAGGCATTTTACCTCATCGTTAATCTAAATAGTATGGTCAAGAAATTTTATATATATTTACCCTTTTTATATATAATTAAAAATAAAAAGTTGGAATGGTTATTTTTTCCTTTTTTTTCACTTTAAGAGATCGAAAAACATAAAAATAAAAGGGTTTTCTCAAATTCCTTTTTTCACATTTATTAATACTAGGAAAAGAGAAAGAGATAGGAAAGAAGGAGACAAAAAATTAGATTTTGCAAAAAAAGAAAATAAAGAAAAGTCTAACATTATCGTATTACTTTAAGGTTGTCGAGATTAGGATTGGAATTTGGTGGTAAACAAAAAAATGAAATAATTTTAAAATAATAAAAGTATTTAATTCTTTTTTGTTTGTAATTTTTTTTAAAAAAAAATTGAGCTCTCTCTCTCCCCCTCCCCCTCCCCCTCTCCCTCTCCATCTTTCTAATTTTTTCAATATTAATAAGATTGCCAAAAAGAAAGAAATTAATACTTTGACTTTTTTTCTTGATACTAAAATGGAGAAGAGTCACTTTAAATTTTTTATTATGCAAAGAGGAGGGTATTTCTTCTAAAGATTTTTAGCTTGCTAAGTTGGTTTAATGGTAGGATAAATTGCCTAAAAAATAACTCTATGGAGTAAATTGATAATGAGACTATATTTTATGGGGGTAAAACGATAATAATTTTAAGGGTTAAACATGTCTTTTCACTTTAATTAACAAATTTCGTTAAGTTTGACCGTTAGTCTTGGGGGTAAAGTGACTAAAAGATAACGTTAAGGGGGAAATTGATAGTGACACCAAACGTTAAGGAGGTGAAGTGATAATAACCCTTAATTATATTACTCCCTAATTCTCAGCCTCGTCCAAAAGGCAATGCAAAAATTTAACATACCATATAATAGTGGATTGGAAAATGTAATCGCACCCTACTTTTTATTAATCACACGCTTATCATTTATTTTTATATAATCTAATAAATGAAAATTACATGATAAAAAATTATAGTGGAAATATCATTAACAAAAAGTGGAGTGTCATCAACAATTTCTTAGTGGATTTTATCGGTCCTCGAGTAACAAAATAATTCTAACATTATGATAGTAGAGCGCTTTAACAAATGGGGGGCATGATAACCCATTTGCTAGGAGCAAATCACCTTTAATCTCCATAAACTTAAGTGATTTTGCCGCCTTGGTTTCTTGCGGTTTCAACATGTTATAGTGAGTTTTATATTGTGACAATTGTGCTCTAACTTTAGTTTTTTTTCTTTTTTTTTTGAAAGGAATTGTGCTCTAACTTGGCTTTGGATATTTTATCAAAATTTTGGTGTCAGACTTCCTATTACATTTTGAGTAAATCTTATATATATATATATATATATATATATATATATATATATATATTGACGGTATATATACTATCACAGTTAGATATACGACACATATGTAAAATTTGAGTTTTAAATTTAAATTCGATTTATGTGTCATGCATCTAATGGTGAAAGTGTATACATTGTCAATGTATAGAAGATTATTCCTTACATTTTATTTACTTTCAATTTATCTCACTTTATGCACTTTCATTTTCGCCCTTATAAAAACTAATTTTACTTTAATTACCTAAATACATGTTGTCAAGATAACTACCATTAAGCATTTCTTAATTTGCTATTTAGACTTTTTTTTCAATATAACCATCCCCTAAGCAATAACTGCCAACATAACAATCATTTTATCAAAATAATTTGGATGAATTACTGACAACTCTCCTGTGATTTTATATAATCCCAGATGATCCCCTTCAGGTTTCAAAATAGTCACATAACTCCCCTATGATTTTGTGTAAAGTAGAAAATAGATGAAATACACAATCAATTACGAAGTTTACACCAAACGTACTCTAAGAACACGTGTGATAAAATCTTAATCTCCATGTAATCCTCTTATGGTTTATATAAATATCCACCTTATCCCCTATAATTTTTGCATTTATCCACATAACCCCCCTATACTTTTATACAAGGTAGTTAAGCTGTTGATTGATTTATCATTTAAATAAGGACACTATTGGTATTTTAATTAACGATGTTACATGGATTATTTTTCACTAAATTTTCACTTTACATAAAACTATAGGGGGTAAAGCTGATATTTTCAAATGTTAGGGGGTCATATGATAATAGATGAAACTAGAGGGGTTATATGTAATTTATCCAAATAATTTAGAAGATTAAAATTTTCTTTAACAATAAACATATGTATGTAAAATTCATTTACTTTAAATATTATGCATTTCTTTATTTCACACATATCGAATATACATTTATCACTATTTATTATAATACATACCCGTTACCTTATTCTAACTGGAAAAAAAAAAAAAGGGCGTCACCCTCATCAGCCTCATGCTTGGTGTAACAGAATGTGTAAAACTTATAATATTGGCCGGCTTAAGTCAACTTTCAAAAGAATTCAGATTTGGGCATTACACATTCGTCACAAGCAACTGTACCAGAGGGACAAAGTCCAATACTAAGCGTGCAATAATTTTGCATGATTGTTGCCAAATGGATTCATTTAAAACATTAATTCCAGTTACAAATTGATGTCATTGAGATCATTGAATGGAATTAGTCTTTTAGTTGGACATTTTCACTTTGTCAACTCTTTTGCAAAGACTAACACTTCTTGTGTTCTGAAAACAAGTAGGTTACAATAATGCAAAACTCTTCTGGCATTTGGGACTTGACTGTTCTTTTCCTTTTCAATTTATGCAATTTTACTTCTTCATGATTGAAATTTTGCCCCATTTTCTGGACTTCGGCACTTCGACTTTGAAATGCCTCCAAAAAGAGCACAATTCGAAATTTTAATTTTCCAATGTCTTGAAATGTACTTATATGTGGATTTTTAAAATTATCTAGTCTCCCCTCTCCATGGTCTTATACCACAACACACCCAAAAAAAGAAAAACACTTTCTAAGATTCTAATACCTGACAAATTTTCAAACTAGGATTGCAATCTTCGTTAAAATTAAAAAACAAGGTAGAACCATAGTAGAAGATTAATAAAATTAATCTTATAGGATAATTTCAGAAACCTTCCCTAAGGTTTCTAACAATTTCACTAAGCTCCCTTGAAGTTTGAAAAATTACACTTATCTCTCTTGATTTGATAGTTTTAGTAACTAAATCTTAAAATAATATTGACTTGCTCAAATTTTTAAATGAATACCCAAAAATGCCCTTGTGTAATGAGTTTTAATTTATTTTCCTATACAATTATAAGATTATCTAGTATAATTATAAGGAAAAGGTACCAAAATTTTCATATCCATACCTACTGTTTGATAAACAACTATAATAATAATTTTATCACTATGATATGATACTTTTGATGGTATTTTATTATGGATTTAGATTTATAAGATGGAAAGAAAATGTTGAAATAATTCATTTAGAATTTATGAATTTTTTGAGAAGTAAGATTATCATAATTTAGTAATGGTTTTGGGCTATTTCTTTTTATTTATTATCAATTTTAATACCAAAATATAGAAAACAAAAATCAGCAAAAACATTGGATTACATATAAGTTAACTCATAAAAAAATCATTAGTTCTACATTTGGTTACAATAGAAACTAGAAGTACTAGTGCTAGTTATACAGTTTTACTAGCAAAAAATTTAAAAAAAAAAAGGAATATGAAGGAAAAAGAATGAAAAAATAATTTTGAAAGCTATTCTAAGTACAAGCATACCAAATAAGGGAATTTCATTAAAATATTTAGGGATAGTATTGTCACTTTAAATGACAAGGCACGTATATATAATTTTTAAAACCTTGAGGGAGCTAAATGAAATTGTTTTAAACCTCAAGGTAGGCTTCTGCAATTATCCCTTATCTTATCCTTACCTGTTATGGGCTTCTTGAGTTCAAAAGTAGACGCTTAGAATTTCTGTACTAAAAGGGCACTGCTTGCATTTTTGACCAGTTTTATTATCAAGACTTCCTTCAAATCGAATTTAAGCCGCCCCAAAAAAATAAAATAAAATAAAATCCAAGATCAGATTCTACCACCTATAAAAACCCATGCCCAGTTTCAGTCCTCCATCTCTTCACTACACCTAAAACAATTTCTTGCTCTTCATTTCTTGAGTTAGCAATGACAACTTTCCTCTTCTTCACCACTTTGATCCTAACCCTGCTGAGGGCTCTGAAGGCTGATCCAACTGATGGGTTCAGCCCTGTTTCGCTCAGTACTGCAAATTTTCAAGTTCAGAAGCCTTACGATGTCCCTGTCAATCAACGCTATTCCTACGTTGGTGGTGTTCATAAACTGTGGGTTTATAAGACAGACAAACCTTTTTCTGCTGGTAGTACTACCAAACCTCGTACTGAAGTTCGCATTACTGTAAGTTTTTCTCTTCTTCTCTTCTTCCGGCAATTCAAATAGAAAACGATATTTACCGTTCAACTTTTACCCCTTTTTTGACAATACATAGCAAAACAATGAAGTTTGAGTACCATTAATTATGTTACTTTGCTTCTCAGGGCTACGATTACACTTCAGGTGTATGGCAATTCGAGGGTAGTGTCTATGTACCCTCTGGAACCACTGGTGTTAGCGTAATGCAAGTTTTTGGAGCAAGCACTCAGGCCACAACTGCTATGCTAAGAGTCTACAATCCATCCCTCACATACTACAGAAGTCCTGTCCTAATCCCCAACGTCTACAACAAATGGTATCGCGTCAATGTGATACATGACACAGGTGCTGGGAGAGTTAGAGTGTACATTGATGGAGCTTTCAAGTACGAAACTAATGATAATGGTCCCGCTACACATTACTTCAAGTTTGGAGTGTATACACAAGACAATCCTTCTGATTATATGGAGTCTCGTTGGACTGGAATCAGAGTTCTCAAGAAAAACTGAGATATTGTGGCATAATTATGGGATATGTTACGCCCAAAATTTGGAGTTCTAAGTATCTTTAATAAGTAATAATAACTGCACTTTGGCTTGATGGTTGTTGTTTCTCAGTGAAAAATAATGGTTGCGTACAATTCCCTGTACTGCTTTTATTTTGCATTATTGAAGTAATAATTACTGCACTTATTCAAGGTTTTGGAATGCAGGGCCTTTTTTTCTTTTTTTTTTGCCCTTCCTTTTCAGCCTATAGAGGTCCAAAAGTTGTTCAATAAGTGTACAATATAGTTGCTCAAAATATGGGATTCCTTCGTTTGTCAAGGGTGTGGAATTGAGAAGAATTGGGACGACAGGGATCATAAAAATTGGGATGAGAGAGAGGGCATTTGTCTAAAAGTATCATTTGTGATTTCTAGATATCCATGTGAAGAACAAATAAGCCTGCTTTGTACCCTCAAATTTATAAGCACTAAAAATTATTGAAAATCGCTTATAAGTAAAGGTGTCAATCACAATTCAATTATATTGATCCGTCCAAACCCAATCAATTCACCCATTTTGACACCTCTAATCATAAATAAGATACCCCCTTGATATTTTTATAGGAAATCGAAACCTGGTTCCAAACTCCCATGAGAACTTATTGCAAGACAAGCAGCTTGATTTAAAAAGCTCTGTTTTGTGGCCAAGAAGTGTGACAGAGTTCTTTTATAAACAAGATAGAAAACGCAGTCCAGATTTTGCGCCTGGCATCTTGGAAATTTTATGGTTAGAGTTGGTTTCTTCGATAATTGGTAAAATTCGAGAATAAGGATTTGGAATAATGAGAAAAGTCAGAAATTTGACTTTGCTTTTGCTTATGTTATTCATTCTAATTTAACCAGCAAATGCAACTGAAGTCAAGTCTTCTGCTAGACTTCCTCAAATTTCAGTAAAAAACTAGCAAATTAGTACCTTGTGACTAATAAGGGACAACAATACTGGTCAAAGCCTCAAAAATGAGGAATAAAAATGATAATTTTTCCCTTTGATAGAATGATTTCCGTTACATACGAATCATTGGTTTGAACAAAAACACCTGTAATTCTCTTGGACCTCTTGGTCTTGGTCCTTGTGTGTGTAGAAGTCTTGGTCTTTGTTTGCCACAACAGAAGTTGCTGGGAAAGTGTTGTAACACTTATTCAACTTTTTACTATCATAGTACCGCATCTTTTGTGAACAAAATAGCGCATTGTACCATTTACCCCAAAAAAATAAAAAGTCTGGCCTGTAGTACTGGCTATTGTTAGATCACAGAAATTTGCAGATCTTCAGATAAGTTTATTTGATTGCTAAACCAGATAGAAATCTGATGTCCAAGGGAAAAGAAGATACCATGATGGAGACATCTTCCATCAATAACACTTGTTGCTTTGATTTTGCTTTAGATTATCTGGCCTGGCTGGACAAGTCCTGTAACTCCTGTTTTGACTGGTATCCTGATATTTGGAAGCTGAAGATGGAGGTAAGGCTATTGAAAACCTTTTTTCTGTATGTCAGAAATTGTAGGAGGAGGAGAAGGAGGAACAGTGGGGATGGGGAAACCTGTGTGGAGCATGGTCACGAGAACAAGGGTAATGCCATGTCTGAAACTTTAAGGCTTAGTACTATTTCTTTGAGGATCCAAGAATTGCTTAATGGGATGACGCATCATCTTCACTTAGCTTATCAGAGATATATCCATTCCCGTGCATTGGATCGTAGACGCATCATCCAAATTGAGCTCAACGGGTCCAGGGAAAATATCAAGTTGTTTCTTGAAACTGATATCAAGAAATCATGCATCCTCACCTTGTTGGACTACCACTCGCTAGGTGATCCACGACTAGTTATGGATCTCATTGATTCCCTTGTAGAGTATCTGGATGATCTTCGCGGGAGAAAATGGGAGAAGCTAATAGAAACCCTTCAAGAGAAGCTAATGTTGTTAAGGAATCTCATTGGCTTGGCCACAGTGCAAGGTGTTGAGCATATGCAATTGATAGATCTCTTGATTCACGTTGAAGTTGTGGCTGCACGCTTGATTTCTGTATGTCGGTTTGCAGAGATGATGAAGTGTTCGATGAAATGGAGTACAAAATTTCTCAATTGATACAGGAGAAGATTAATCCTGTTAACCCCCAGGTCCAAGAAACTTATATCCATGTCCTGACAGCTTCAAAGCAATCGAGATCATCATATGCTTCAGCCCTGGAGGAGAATGAATATGCAGCGGCCAACTTTGTTGATTCTCTCCTAGATTACCTTATCGATCTACTAGGATCTTATAACAGTTTTCAGGTTCAAGTGAAGGAGCAAATGCTAAAACTCCATCAGAAAATAAGATTCATGAGTATCGTACTCAAGAAGAAGTTCAATGAGCTACATGATGAATTGAAGGATCTTATTGGAGTTGTGGCTTGTGATGCAGGAATTTTGATGTTCACCCTTTCTCCAAATGAAATGAAGAAGGCTTGGCTGAGGAAACAGATCTTGCACTTTTCCATTTGCTCAAAGTGCTCAAGTATATAATGGCAGAAGTAGCACACATGTATCCACTAACATCATCATCTTCATTTAGTTTTCCCAGGACCAATGAGTTAGGCTCTGTTGATTTGTTCCTAGAAAATCTAAAGGAACTAGCAAGCTGCGATGAAACTGATCATTCACTTGCTTTCCCAGTTGATAGCATCGACATAGTCCAAAAAAATCTCACATTCTTAAGATCTTTCCTCGAGAATATGAAGGAGAAGCGCAATCAGAATGGCAAACTCAAAACTTGCTGGAATCGTGTTATGGAGATTGCATACAAGGCAGAGTTAGTAATTGACTCGATAGTTGTCAGTGATAAAGGTCATTACTTTTTGGATGCTGTTGCTGAAGACATCAATCTTATGAAGATCGAGGCCCAAGAGATCTGTGACAGCACAAGTTATAATGGTGAAATCAAGAGAGTTACCAGGGCTTCCGTTCATATGCCATCTCAATTAACTGCCGCCATGAAGATCTTATGGGTCTTGGAGACGAGGTGGAAACTATCACTGACAGACTTACAAGAGGAACAAAGCAGTTGGATGTTGTTCCTATCGTGGGTATGCCTGGGCTTGGTAAGACTACATTAGCCATTAAAGTTTACAGTGATCCTTCAATTAAACTGCACTTTCATATTCATGCTTGGTGTTATGTTTCTCAAGTATACAGCAATCACAATTTGTTAGTTCAGATTTTATGTAGCATTGATTCTAGGAGTCCTAACCAATGTGTTAAGATTGAAGAAGTTGTTTTGGCTGTAGAACTATACCAGCGTTTGAAGGGACATAGGTATCTCATTGTTTTAGATGACGTGTAGGACATTGGGGCATGGAATTTGTTGAGAAATTCACTACCGGATGATGCCAATGGAAGCAGGATCATGTTCGCCAGCAAATATCAGAATTTGTCTTCGCTATTTAAAGGAGATTGCAAGCCTCACCATCTTCGCCAACTTACTGATAAAGAGTGTTGGGCTTTGCTGCAGACTAAGATATTTGGCAAAGAAGGATGTCCTCCTATACTAAGTGAAGTTGGATTCCGAATAGCAACAAACTGTAAAGGACTACCTCTCATTGTTGTCCTGGTTTCTGGAATTCTTGCTACTACTGATCAAGATTGCTGGGAAGAAACTGCGGAAACTCTAAATGCCAGCATTATTCTTGACACTGGAAACTGCATGAAGACTCTTGAGCAGAGTTATAGTCATTTACCAGATTATTTGAAGCCATGTCTTCTTTACTTTAGTGCATTTCCAGATGAACGAGATATTTCTGTACAAAGGTTGTTACAGCTTTATATTTCTGAAGGATTTGTTCAAAAGACTGAAAGAAAGAGCTTAGAGGAAGTGGCCAATGACTGCTTGATGGATTTGATTGCTAGAAGTTTAGTTATGGTTACTCGAGAAAGAACTCTGGGAGGTGCCAAAGCCTGCCAAGTTCATGATTTGGTACATGAATTTTGTGTGGAAAAAGCCAAACTAGAAGGTTTTGTACATATAATTGATAGGTATAAAGACCCTTCTTGTCCTACAGGACCTTGCAACTACAATCCCCACCGACTGTGTATTTACAATACAATGGTAGAGGTGGTTAAGCAGTCAAGGCAATTTTTTCCCAATTTACGCTGTTTGCTCTTCTTTCCTAGCTATGAGCAGAATGCTACAGATCTGGATTTGGGGTTTTTGATGTCTAAACTTCTTAGAGTGTTGGATTTGGGAAACTTTGACTTTTGTGAATCATTTCCATTGGAAGTACTATGCCTTGTTCACTTGAGATACTTGGGGATTAATCTGAAAATAGACTTTGTTCCATCTGCAATAGCCAATCTCTCAAGGTTACATACTTTGGTGGTTTATGGAAGCATTACTCATGTCGAGTTGCCAAAGACTATCTGGAATATTAAGACGTTGAGGCATCTTTGGGTATAAAGTTATTATATATACGGTTTTAGTTTTCCCAGTGACAATCTTGAAGAATCCCCGGATTTAGTTCATTTAGAAACTCTAAACCTTATAATTGATCCCTCTTCTCAAAGCTTGCAAAAGATACTGAAAAAGTTACCCAACATCCGCAGGCTAAAGTGTGTTGGAGTCTCAGGGCTCTAAACAGCATCTTCTGGAATTTGCTATGGGACTCTGATGCTGGATCATTTGAGTCTACTAGAATCCCTAAAGGTAGTATGTGGATTTGAAGCATTCGAGTTTGAATTTCCATTAAATTTGAGAAAGTTGACTCTCTCATGCAATGACCGGACATGGAGTGAAATTTCAGCAATTGGAAAGCTGCCCAACCTTGAAGTTCTTAAAGTTAGAGATTCCTTTGTGGGGGAAGAATGGGAAATGAAAGAAGGGGAATTCTGTAATCTTCGATGCTTGGAGCTATCAGATTTAGGCTTTTGCAGGTGGACTGCCTCTGCTGATAATTTTCCCCGTCTTGAGAAATTGGATTTGCATTATTGTGAGGCCCTGGAAGAGGCCCCTTCTTGTTTAGGGGAATGTTCGACTCTTGAAATGATTGAGGTGAAAGGGTGTAGTGAGTCTGCTGTATGTTCTGTAAAGCAAATTGGACAAGAGCAGATGGAAATGGGAAATCAGGGTCTAAAGATCATTATGTGAAGTTATTGCTGATCCATGTTTTCTTGGTACTAAGATCAAATTGAAGTTATTGGTGATTTCTGTTTACTTACTACTCAGATCAAAAGGAGTCACAGACTCACCGCCCTCTCATCGTATTTTACAGTGGTGAGCCATTCCTGTCTTTTCTTGAATTGGATAGAATCAATTCAGAGTGGGATTCCATTCAGTAGGTTAGATGTACTACCACAGTACCACTTGTATATTCTGAATTAGTTCAATGACAGCTATTCATGTTTCTTTAAGCAATTTCTGGAGATCCCAATTATTTGGTCTCAACTTGATTCAGCTATAACTTTTCAAAATGCTGCTACAGATTGATATGATTTTTAAAAGCAGCAGAACACATGTCATATGTGCGAGGTGCCCTTTTCCGTTCCTTCGATACATTGCAACCAGAGTAATGCAGACTTCTACAAACAATTCCAGCCCACCACAGGTCTTAATTTAGAACTCCCAATTCATGACATCCAACAGCTATTCTAATTCTCACAAAGGCAGTTAACAAGCAAATCGTGTTTTGGCGCAAGAAAATGACAGAAAAATTAGTCGAATCACAGAACTTCATAAAAGAGCTAATAATGTTTGATTTAAAACTATTTAGACCTGAATCACAGAAGCTAATAGAAGAGCTAACGAATCAACAAGATTGACAGAAGTTCCAATATATCACGTTGATGTTATGGTTGAGAAAAGATATTGCAGGTAAAATATGTTCAAGGGACAGTTTCTGATGTTAATGGGTGCTTGATACCCAATTCAGAAGTAGTAAATTTGGTTGGGCAGGGTTGCAATGTATTCAGATGATTGTGCATGCATCTGAAGCTGTCCCTGTTAGTGGAAATTATCCTAGCTGTAGAAACTTTATACTCAGATATCACTTTACTATCTCTTATTTGTTGCAAGATCGTAGTTATGAGGATGATTTCTTAGTATAATTTGCATTCATGCTACTGCTGAGATGTTATCTTTTTCATTTTTCTGCTGATAGTTACTTGGAACAAGGGAGGGAAAGCAAATCCTACAGATCAAAAGCAAGGAGCAGCAATTCTGTGATCACCAAAACTTGGTTAAGTTTAGGATCTCTTTAATGCAATGTAACCAATTTTAGTCACAAAAAATTGTGTGCCTTTCAAACCTTGGATTGGTGTTGTTAGCCTTCATTTAACTCCCGCTTTTCTTTGTTCATCAATCGTCTAGCATTTCTGATGACAAGCAGCTCAAAATTAAATGGTGCTACAGTGGGAAGGTATGTTGAACTTGAACAGTAGGAAAAAAAAGAAAAAAATCTGTGCTAAATGAGAAGTGTAACTTCAAATTTCAGTAGCAAGTGACTTCTGCTGATTTGTGTTCTCTAGACACTGGTCTGATTAACTGCACACGGCATCATTGAGATGAGAAAAAATAAGAAATTTTAAATTGGTTGGTGCTAAGAAATTATAGATTTCGATTTAAAAAAATCCAAGAAAAAGGACTAATAATACTAAAGCATTATCAAGAAAAATCCTTGGTCTACATTGTCTTTATGATTGAATTAACAGTGTGGTTCCACAAAACACAGTTTTTTTTTTCCCATGAGCGCTCAATTACTCTACTTGAAAGATTAGTATTTTTACCACTAAACAGTAGAGGTTTCTTTTACCACTAACCATGTGTTTTCAGAATAGCTAAAAAAAAAAAAAAAAAAGGTACGTTGATGTCCTGATTTAGTTGTCAAGATTTAAACCGCCAGAGTTAGAGGTCCTGTCCAAATGAAACCTGATTTAGTGCTTGTATTCACCTTTTCAATAGTTTTTCAAATTTTCATGCTTGTACTAGTAAATGGGATCTATTATTTTGTCACAGGGTATTAGTAAATAGAGTGATTTCCTAGTATACATCCTATTCATGCTACCCTTTTGATCCAGTTTGGTTAATTGTAGAATCTCTTCATTGCACATACCCAAAAAAAAAAAAAAAAAAAACTATGAGCCTTTAGAAATGGTTTGTATTTTCTGGTTTTCTATTCTTTCTTCAATTCTCTTGTACTTTTTATCCCAATCAGCTGAAAAGCCCCTTGCTACATCACTCTAGAATGCCCTATGTTCGTCCTGTATTTTACTGGAGTCAAGACACATTTGTATGCCTGGATAATTATAAGGCTAGATGTTCAAACACATTTATCAAATCGAAGGAATACAAAAATACTTAAAAATATGTAAGATATTGAGATTCAAGAGGCAAAGTCACTACAAGAACATTAAATAAAATATTTAATGGGATTTTTATTTTTCGAATAAATACATTGAGCATCAACTACGGCGTCAAGACGTGGGAAGACGAATTTGTGGTAGAATTCACAAGATGTGGAGGAGATGGTGGCTGAGGATAACCATAACCACCGGAATCATCATGTTCATCAGCTGCATCACAATAACCACGAAGGATGTCACCTTCTTCAGCAGTGTAGCCAAGAGAGCCAAGCATGGAAGGCCAGCAATGGTGTTCAATGGTTCTGATGGCACGGCAACAACTCGGTCCAAGATAGGTTTCCCCATTAAGGAAAAACAGAATGACTTCTCCAGTGCAAGACCTCAGCTCAAAGAGAGATTCCCAACAAGTAGCCAATAACGAGTTATCACCCTCTTCATCTTCCAATTTTAGCCTACCCATTAGGGTTGACGATTTCGAGTTTATCGGTCGAGCCATGAACATGGAGGGTGTTATGGAAATGGAACATGCCATTAGAGCTAGAAGGAGGACTTTGGAAGAGTAAGACATTGTTGGTTTTTTTAAGTCTTTAATTTGTTGTGGAGGATATTAGTACTTGTTAGTGTATTTATAGAAGGCAAGTTATGTGTATGGGGAGGTGAAGGGACTATAAACAATTTATGTGAAGGAAAAATGGACATGGGATTTGTTTAATTTTGTAACCGATGGAAGGATAAAGTTGTTTATAATTAAATGACGTGATTATCATGCATGGGAAATTTGATAATGCTTAAATGAAGTAATTATAATGATTAAACGTGTTAAGCTTGGTGATATTAATTTAGGTAGTGTTCGTCAGTTCATGGGGCTTCTCAGTTCTCATCATAAATGACAAGATATATGCTAGGTTTCAGATGTAAATGGCTCATTAAGTCCCCTGATTGCTGCTTCATCTGTTTAGGAAAATTAGTAGAATGTCACTTGAGTTCCAAGTTATAATCACTTTGCGTTTCAGGTTTAAGACAGTGCATTTTGATTTAGGGAAATTTGCCAATTTGGGGTCTGTTTGTTTCCGGTGAAAATCTTTCCCAGGAAAATATTTTCCTAATTTCCCGTGTTTGGTTGCACAAAAGTTACTGAAAATATTTTACTGTGTAAAAGTTTTTCACTCATCCTATGGAAAACAACTTCTCTTCTAAACTTACCGAAGTTGTTTTCCTAAACGCACGCATCCCGCTTGATAAAAGTATCTGTCAAACTTTCAAAACTTGTAGTATATTCAAAATCAAAAAAAGGCCTCACCCTGCTCACCCTATTCTAGTAATTAATTATGTATAATAGGGACATTCTTTTCTAGAGAAGCTTTCAGCAGTGAGAGTGCAAGATATATGTCACAATAAGCATTGCGTATGATTGATATTTGACAATGAATGGCCAGCAATTTGTTTATTGCTTAAGGAGAAAATTTTTATTCATATATACATTTCTCTAAGAATTTTTTAAAGTTGAACAATGAGATAATTTTTTTTATTTTGCATGGGAAGAAGTATGTGGTTATAATGTGTAGAAAGTAAATATAGAGGTAAAAGTGAAAATATTTCAAAAGTTAAACAAACACCAGAAAATGAAGTAAGAAAATATTTTCAATAGGCTAACCAAACACCTGAAAATGATGAAAGTGAAATGATTTTCCTGGAAAATATTTTCTCAAGGAAAACATTTTACTCCCAACCAAAAGGACCCCTCTCTCATATTTTCAAAAAAAACTTTTTTAGTCCTTCAAATTCAAAATCAACCAAAATAATTCCTCATAAAAAAAAACCTGCCTATTTGGTTCCAAAACTCATTTTTGCTCACTTTTTCTGCAAAAACTGCATGACTACCTCATGTGCTCATCTTGGTGAGGATGGCTTGTGCAAGTGAAGGAGACGTGCATTTCTTGGCTAGAGGAATGAGCGAAAATGAGTTTCGGAACCAAACATGCAAACTTTTTATATTTGAAGGATTATTTTGACTGATTTTAAATGTGAGGGACTAAAAAAGTTCTTTATGAAAATGTGAGGGACCAAATTGGCAAATTTTCCTTTGATTTATCAATTATTTCATCTAGGGAAAATAAGTTGTGTAAAGGAAAATAGGTTATGTTGATTTTGCCCAAAAGTAGTATTTTGATCACTTTGAATGTCTCCTCATGTGATAGAATGGTTTCTTTTTTTTTTTTTTGAGCCAATACTTTGTGTTAGATGATATGTGTGTGCATATATAGATATATGATAGGCGGATATACTGCAGTAAAATTAGCCATTTTTATTTTTGTGTACCCAATCAAATTCTTTCAAATGGTTAAACGATATGGCTGTCAGAAAATTGTACTCAAGAATAAGAAGCTTTCACCCAAGCAACTTTGAAAAAGAAAAAGAAAAAAGAGTTAGAGTGGAACCTTAAGGTATCTCATGCATCAATTTACATAAACCATTTTCCAGTAAAAAGTAAAAACTACCAGACAACTGATTATCTTGAGGGGTTTGATTTCATTATCTCCTATTCATTTTGCTTCATTGCTTTCTTTTAGGGCAAATTCTCTAATCATGGTCAATTACCCATCTGTCTTTTTTTCCTTATTTTTATTTTTATATCAAAGTTTCCTCTTGGTTGAAGAATTTGCTTTAACCCTTACATATTTTTTTTGAGGTAAGTAGTATTTAATTAGCCTTCTCATAATTTACCATTACAGGGCTCCTCACCGTATTTGTGGAATTTGTAACTAATTTCGGGGAATTTTCATAATTAATCTCGATAAGAAAGGCGAATTTTCTGTATTTCAGGAAACCTCACGCTTGAATTTTAGAAGTCATAGCCAGAGATAACATTTTTTTTTTTAATCTCGACAATAATCATCAAAGTAGGTAAGTACAAGTGTGATAATTAATGGAATCACAAAGCATAGACAAAAATTTATAGCAAAGACAATTATTCATATTGAAGTGGTAAAATGACTATTACTACTTCAATAAGCAAACTCGTACATAAGAGACTAGCTAGGAAAGCCACCAAACCTCCCATAATTTCCAAAACAACATACCTAATCAGTGATAACACCTGCAAGATAATCTAGAAATAGAGCAACACAACCACAATCATCAAAGGACTGGAAATAAATTACTTAGACCTCTTACATTAAACATAATAGTCTTAATTATTTGTGGTAATTAATTGGTGATTATCGACTAACGATCATGCTGATGGAGCTTGAGCTGGTCCAAAGGAGGAAAGTGATGCATCACAATAGCCTCGAAGGATATAGGTCTGATCCGCTGAAAAACCAAGTGCAGACAAGATTGTAGGCCAGCAATTGTGTGTAATCACAATGATGGCATGGCAGCATCCTGGTCCAATATCAGTTGTGCCATTTGTGAAGTAAGCAGCAATCTCATCTGTGCATGATTTTATCTCTGACAGGGCATTCCAGCAATCTAGCACACTTCCATTATTGGTCTCAGGCCGGGTGTTAAGCTTGGAAATGGATTGATCATCTGATCCAGAAAGGTTTCTTGGCAGTATCTTTCTTGCTGATGATGAGCAGGAAATCACCATAAAACAAGTTATGACAAGAAAAAGCAATTTGACAGACTTGAGAGCCATCTTTTGCCGAATAGAGTTGTGAAGAAAATTGAAGGGTTTTGGAGGGATTTATAGGGTGGTGAAGGAGGGAGAGGACATGTTATTATTAAGTGAATTCAATGGTAAATAATCAAAAGGGCATAGGGAAAGACATAACTGTTACAAAGTAATGGAAGCAACACAATATGGAGCGCTAGAGTTTCATTAAATATGTGAACTTTTGAGGCAGCTTTGATCAGTAATAACTAAGTAGGAGAAGGCAATCTAGTTGAATCTCTTGAGATTCATCGGCTGTTATGTGCTAGAACACAGATTCTCACGCGGCGTGTACATTGAAGACAGCTTTTCAATGGGGATGGACCTGAGAAGTTTGAATTGTTTGGTCCTCAAGTCTGCCCACTTATGCACGTATGGAGCCAGATTGAACAGCCTATAACTTTCAAATATTACATTTGAACTACAATAGATACTATTCTAATTGTGTTCCTAACTTCCAACAACAAAAGTGTCGCGGTGTAGCTTGTGATTCTTACTAAGAGAAGCATTATAAATATTAGGGAAAATTCACATTTTTTTCGTTTACAGTAATATTAGTGTTATCCATCATCTGAAGTAGTTTTAGTTTACAATAATGATATGTTCTGTGAGTTTTTTTTTTTTTTCTTGACGCAGAAGGTATTTTGACTTACACCAGACTAATCCTTCAGAGCGATAGTGTAAAACCCGTCCCAAGAATGCACTACACGTTAACAGGCGGGACTCGAAATTGTGACATATGAGTAAAAACCCAATAAGATCAATTACCACTGAGCTACCCCGCCTGGAGGCGTTGCATGAGTTTTATATGGATCATTCATTTGTGACTCATGTTGAATACTAGCATACTTGGACCCTTCCCTTTCTAGAACAATGCGGTGGGAGGACAATGACGTGATGAACAACGTACTAAAATTACAAATTAGTGAGAGTGAGGGTCCAAAGTGTTGAAGCCAAAAGATGAGCGATTGAGTTAAAAAACAGGCACAAGAAAGAAAGGGACAAGACAACATGTAATGAAGCATAAACATAAGGGGCTAATCTGAATCTAAACTATGCTAAAAATGATATTCCAAAATAATTTTCAAATTAGTATTCTAAACTAGCATTTTGGTTAGTGGCTAATATTGACTTCAGTCTACGTTCAAATCCTCCTCTTCCTTCCCCACCTCTTAATATCCTTCGTCTCGCCGCTGCTATTAGGGGAAAAAAAATTAAAAATTCTAAGCATACACTTACGGTAGAATTAAAATCCCAAATACAGATGGGCCAAGATTAGTTCTTGCATTTGTAAGCTTTTCGAAGGCTGGACTCAGGCATAAATTTCTGATTCAGTTGACAGGCCTACAGTCTGTTAGGCCCAATCCGGCTAAAGCCCAATAAAATTTTCCTATTTCGTTCCTGAAAATTTTTCCGACCCAGATTTTTGCCGCCCTTTTCTGCTTCATCAGCTGAGCCTTTCACCCCTTCCGGCGTACAAACCCGAAAATGAGCAACACCGGCGCCGAGAGCCTGCCGACGAAGGAAGTAAACGTGCTGAAAGGACACGAGGGTGCCGTCTTAGCAGCAAGATTCAACTCGAACGGCGAGTATTGTCTGAGCTGCGGCAAGGACCGTACCATACGCCTCTGGAATCCCCACCGTGGAATTCACATCAAAACCTACAAATCCCATGGCCGTGAAGTCCGGGATGTCCATGTCACCCCGTAAAAACTCTTCCTCTCCCTTTTCCAGTAGTCCCTTGACATGGGTTTTAATTCTTTCGAACCAAGATTTTAAATTTTTTGAGTTTTTATTTTTTCTACTTTTGGTTGGGTAGAATTCGAATGCAAATCCCAAACTCTATTTTTTATGCCAGGAAAAAATACGGTTGAATTAGATGAAAAGTTTTTTTTTTTGTGTGTGGATTGTTTTTTATCAGCTTGTTTTGGTTTTCTCGCCAGCAAAATGCAATTTTTATTATTTTTGAATCTGTGGTTTACTAAATTGATATGGTGAATTCTGATGTGGATTTTATAGTTATCGAGTTTGGTGGATATTTTGGGTTAATAGTGGTTATTTGTGTTGTAGGGACAATTCCAAGCTTTGTTCTTGTGGTGGTGATCGACAAGTCTTCTATTGGGATGTAGCAAGTGGTCGAGTAATTCGAAAATTCCGTGGCCATGACAGTGAGGTTAATGGCAATTCCATCACTAGAATTTTTTTTTTTTTTTTTTTTTGTAATAGATACAGCTGGAGTAGTAAATTGTTAGTTTTATCAGAATAAGTTTAATAATAAATTCGTCTCACTTCTCATAGCAGCAGTTCTTTAAGCAATCCCCCCACCAAAAAAATGAAAAAAATCTGTGCACTCAGTTCCAATTGACTCCATTTAAGAGATCAATAATGACCTATGTAGCTATTTGTTGAATTCAGAAGGTTTCAGAGATCAGATTTGAATTTGATAAAAGATTCCTTTTGGTTCCTTGATGATAGAGATTCTCTTTTTTGGCGTTATTATATTGTGCTTGGTGGTGGGAGTTGGAATGTGTATAATGTGGACTGACATGTTGGTTGATCTCTTAAAGAATTGGTTACCTTTTTAAATTGCAGTCCAATGCTTTATTCATTTATCCAATTAAAGCTGAGATTGAAATCTTCAAAGCTTCTGCCCAGTTCCTCAGATGAAATGTGTGTATGTTTTGTTCTCAGATAATTTTCATACAGTTATATGTGACATTGAAATTTTATGCTTATCCATGATGTCTGTCCGATCCCACTTTTTTAATTCTATATTTGAGTTTTTGAGAAAACTTGTGGCAATGAGTAAAAGAGGCCTTATCATGTAGTCCACTGGTGGCCAATTTTCTACAATTCTTTGAAGCTATTTTCTTGATTTTAAAGCTTAAAGGTAACAATTTGAGTTAAAAACTAGTTTACATAGTCCTGTAATCTCCTTGAAGAACTTAACTGTTTTTTGAGTTCTTAATAACCTTTAAACAAAACTAAGTCAACAAAACTAAGTCTCGTTGTATGTTTTTGCCTCATTGGAAGTAATGATTGCATGCATATTTGGTTGTCATTGATACCCAAGATGTTAGAATGTAGAGAATAAAGAAGAGTATCGTGTCAATCAGTCTTATCTGACATTTTGCTCCATTTTCATCTTTTTACAGGTGAATGCTGTTAAGTTTAATGAGTATGCAACTGTAGTAGTATCAGCAGGAAATGATCACTCTTTGCGTGCTTGGGACTGCAGGTCTCATAGTACTGAGCCTATTCAGGTCAATTTCGTTATTCATTCTTCCATTGACTTGTTTAAATAGAATAGTGATGTTGACTGGGGGTGATAGATAGGAGTTTCTGGATTGTTAAGATAAGCATTTCCTGTAATTGCTGAAAGGCATGGGAATGGTTGCATTGATAAGACTTATTTAAGTGACCATTTTAAATGTGAAAGCTGAAGGTTATGTTGCTACCTAATGCCAAATCTCAAGGGTGAAAACGACAATGTTGTGTGCCAATCGGAGTTTTGGTTACATTGTGTAGATAGATTGGATAGATGGAGTTTGCAAGGAATTCTTGACGCCAAATTTCCTAAAGTTTCTTGACTCTCTAGAAGTATTAATAGACCATCATCATAGCAGCAATTTTTGCTTCAACAACATTTGGCTCTAGCTTTACATGAAAATGAAAATTCCAGAACTCTTGAGATCTAAGAAAAGATATCATATGTCGCTTCACTTTTAGGAGCACTATTTTGGTGTTTCCTTTAGTTTGCTCCTTGTTTACTGTGTCTTGCCCTACTCTCACAGTTCTAATAATTGGAATTTGATTACTTTGAACTGAATATTTTAATAACTCTACAGATCATTGATACTTTTCGGGATACTGTCATGTCTGTTTGTTTAACAAAAACTGAGATAATTGCTGGAAGTGTTGATGGAACTGTTCGGACATTTGATATTCGAATTGGTAGGTATGCACTTGACTTTATAGCAATGTTTAATCTTTTTAAGGATTGATTCCTTAGGGATTATCTTTTAACAAATTTTTGGTGCTTCTTAGAGAAATTTCTGATGACTTGGGCCAACCTGTCAACTGTATCTCTCTGTCAAATGACAGTAATTGTATCTTAGCAAGCTGCCTGGATTCAACTCTACGACTATTGGACAGGTAATTGGCCTTGGGAGTTTTTCTTTTGTCATATACTTTTGTATAATGCCCTTGTATTTTATCTGTTGAATCGTTGACATGATCTCGTTTTCTCTCTGATGACAATAGATCTACTGGTGAACTTTTGCAAGAATATAAAGGTCATACTTGCAAGGTAGCTTGTGGAGCCTCATTTTGGTCCTTAATATAGACATAGTATAAGTTTTATACTTCTTTTCCTAAACTTTGAACAGGAACATACTGCACTTCTCCGTCTTAATACTCAAGATCAATTCTTTTCTGTGATGACACTGCTACATTTTTTCCCCATTTCAAAGCAAGTTTTGACTTTGTTTATATGGTGTCTTAGTGTTTTGTCTGTGAATAGTAATTTTCTCTGTTTTGTTTTTGCCGTATCAGTCATTTAAGATGGACTGCTGCCTCACAAATAGTGATGCGCATGTGACTGGGGGTTCTGAAGATGGCTTTATCTACTTCTGGGATTTGGTGGATGCATCTGCCATATCAAGCTTCCGAGCTCACTCCTCAGTGGTAACATTCTACACTGACATATCTGTTATTGCATTTACTCAGTGTTTAACTAATATAACTGTTTTGAGTTTTAGTTGATCTCAATTGGGGCAACCCTCATATTCAAAGTTCTGCCTTTTAGTGCACGAAGTAAAATTTTTCAGTCCACTTTTCTTAATCTGTTTATATTTTCAGGAAAATGGCTAATTATCTTTTTTAATAGATGAATGCGGCTTCTGATACGTGAAGCATCATAGCCTTTTTGAAATTCAAAATACCCTTTTGAGAAAGTTATGCCTTATTTCTAATTTTGCATGATTTAGTGTTTGCTTTGCGTATGTTAAAAAGCTTATTTAGCATACGTTGAGGGTGTGTCATGACACTTGAGATTTTCGTATGCCTTTATTTATTGATTTTCTAATCCAGGATCATAAAGTACGCATTCATGAATTTTCCCTATGAAGTTTAACCTTTTTCTGGGTAAATCTGTCTCTCTTTCTCTCTCTCTCTCTCTGAAGGGAGGAGATCTTTGGTTAGATCTCTAGGTGGGTAAAGATTTCTTAACTTTAAGTTTTGGGTTTAATTTCAAGCCACTTGGGGCTTGTACTAATAATCTACCTATCTGCAGAATCCCATGTAAAAGTTATAGATGTTAGGATGGTTTTTTAAATGAGGAAAACTGGAAATTGAAGATTTAGTATTTTGTGTCTGCAGCGAGTGATTATCATTACCTGACCCATTTTGGAACTTCACATTAGTCTTCACAATTTCAGCTTCAACAACATGTGATAACACTTGTGTATTGGTACTAGGTGAGTGGATTCAATCAACAACATTTTGTTGTGTGTTTGTCGAATTTGTAGAAGTTATCTTCATCTTTAACAGATTAGGCAGCCAACCATTTATGGTTTCAATCATTGCATTAGATATTACAACCCAACGTCATGCTTGTTGGAGGAGAAATAAATCTAATGTTATTTGTTTTCTTGGGCAAAGGTGTATGTGGGAGTCCTAGAGGAGTTAAGATAAATGTTCCAGAACCCTCAAAAGTTTATGACTATGCCATTTCACTACTGGTCTATACCAAAAAGAATATAGTCAACAAAGTAAAGGATCGCCTACCTTTTCCAAGAATAATCCTGAGGGAAAAAATCTGAATACATTTTTTGCTGTACATGAAGAAAGAATGTATTTTTAAATTTCCTATATTGTGAAAATTGGACTGACATCAAATGCTTTCACTGGTGGCAGGTGACTAGCGTCAGCTATCACCCAACAGATAGCTGTATGGTGACTTCATCTGTTGATGGAACTATCCGGGTGTGGAAAACCTAAGACAAGATATCTTCTCCATATTTCCTTTCTTTTTCTCCATGATTCTTGGTCTTGCTCATCAGAGTTACTCAGGTTTGTAGATAAATGTATTTTTTGTTCTCTTATAAGTATATAAGCTAAGGCCTTGTCTATGTCCTTTTATCAGTAAAATCACGATCTGTTGAATGTAAACTTAGTTCATCAAAGGACACTTATGATTCTCGTTGAGCAGTATATGAAGTTAGTTCTAGTTTTAATTATGGTGAATGTGCCATTCAAAATGACAAAAGCTGCATTCGGTTTATTTTATTTTAATATTTTGCAGGCCTCCTGTAAAGACACATTATGTACGATGTGGTATAGAGCAAGAGAAGTGAACCAGTTAATAGTAATGCTTTGTAATTTATTATCCTCCGTTATCCCCTCTTGTAATTATTTGTATGGACGTGAGAATTACCTGTTTTATTAAGGCTGAGGTACTTTGACGTCTATAGGAATGTTGTCTGTGCGGTAGAAACATCTTCTCTGGACTTGCCAGATGACACCAGCTTCTTTTGGCATTTCTATTACTCAATGTTGATTTGGTCAAAGTCCAAAGGGAAAACAATCCCGATATTCATTATCAGATTCCCGATCCTGTCAGATTTAAATTTTGATTATTGGTTAGGAGTTTAACTACATATTTTATAGGCAGGTTAGCAATCAAAACATGGACTCCATTTGCTGAAAGTGAGCGTTTTCCATGTCTTATACTTTACCCTCTGGTTTCTGTGTGAAAGTGTTCGTAACTGGCTTTAAAGAATAAAAATGGGTAGTCAAGAGGTTGTTGTGTTGTGATAATTAGATTTTTTTTGTCATCTGGCGATGCATAAGGCATTGCATGCGAGCTATCTAATGCTTTATTATTCCCGTCCTAGCTTTGTTTTCTGGCTGGAGTTGCTTCAGATGGAATAATGTTCTCATTCCTGCTTACTACTGGCATGCAGTTGCTAATTATCATATCCCCCCTGCATAAAAAGAAATGGCTAAGAATTTTAACTAGTGTGGCGGGTATATATATTGCCTTTCTTCTTGTCAAATGGGCTTGTTTTATGTTGCTGAACAGTTCTTTGATCCCTATATCCTCCAGAATCTACTGCAATTCAGGGTCTTTACCATATTTCCATATGTTTCTAATTGAATTATTCTTTTAGGTCTGTGGGACTGGTCTTTCAGTCAGCAAATCACGGTATAAGGGGACTAAGAAAATGAAATTTAGGTCAGAAAATGCTTGGAGGAGCTGAAAACCACTGTTTGATTCTGGTTCTTATGAAGCCTGTAGTGATTAACTTATTCTGAATATTCAGGCACATGTCAACTGGGAAATTCTAAGCCCCCTGTTTGCAAATCTTTTGGGTCCAAAGGCTACCAATTCATGACTTTGTGGCTAATATTCTTGGGGAGGTGACCATATTTGATGGCTTTGTAGCAGTGGTTCTCAGGTTTCCCCTTTCTAAGAGGCATCTAAACATGAGGAGGAGCTGGCCAAGTGCAGCCCTCCTAATCATCCCAGTTGGAAGCCAGGAATGTCAAAGCAACCAAAAGGGTGTTGATTGATATGTTTGAGCCGGTCCCTAGGCCGAAAGTGTAAAAAGTTATGAGGGTTTCACTTGGAAGTTTGGCAACTGATAAGCTTGTAATGAATGGTTTTTGGTCTCCATTTCTTTATTTTCCTTTTTTGGGGTGACACTCCTGTTTTCCCTTGCTGATGGGGAAGCAATTGCTTCCCCTCCTTGCTCATCCTCACAGATCTCTCTCTAAAGCAACTCAACTAGAACTGATATCTCCCTTCATTTTTGGTTAAAACTTTCTTGAAGCAGGTAAGGATTGGGAAAGGCAAAACCGGCCCCGTGGGAAGTTGAACTAAAAGTGGGGTTGTTAATGCAGTTGCCTGGATCGAAAAACTCACTCAGGCAAGCAAAATCCATTAACTCTTTTGGTTGGTAAGGATAGTTCTCCAAAGTTAAAACGTAAGTTGAAAGTAGATTCTAAAGCTCATGTTTGAACTCAAAGAGTTTGATTGTCCTTCATAAGAAAAATCGAATGAAGACTTTGGATGGAGTTGCTTTTGTACAAATTCATGTGATATTCTTAGGAAAAGAGAGCATATAATTTGGTCAACCGTTACTAGACATCATGCGTGCCTTTGTGAATAGCTAAGAAGGGAAAGAAAGAAACACTGAGAGTTCAAATTTCCATTTAGTTATGTTTTTAGGGATTTGAAGTCCAAACATCTTTGTTAAATATTGGTCTAAGATATGGCATAATTTTTCTTGCCCCAAAAAAATTAAATTTTATTTTTCCCCTATTAAGTCTAGATTGCCCACTAATGATTCCCATAGTTACCCTAAATTGAACACATTTCTATTGATGAAATTGGGATTTAATCATTCATGATTACAGAATCAACATCAATAGATTACAAAACAGCATTTCAGCAACTCAAACTGAAAGCAGTTTTTTTTTATTAAAAAAAAATTAGCAAAAGAGGAGTAGAATTTAAGAAGCAATTCTCATAATTGCATCAAATCAAGAACACTTCTGTCGACGAAATTACAATTATGTCACGACGACAAAATTAATACTAATATATTACAATTCAACTCAAAGTGAAAGCACTTAAACAACATTAAACCACCACTAAATTACTAAAAAAAACACCTTCAAAATTAATATAATATTAGGAGAATGTTAAAATTTTCTCACAAAATTTAACCCTTTTTTTTCCTTCCCTTATAATAATGATGACCATTCACATCAAGAAATGGCTGGAAATGGTTGCGCGTACAAGACAGGCGACAGCTCAAGTACGCAAGGTGTGGTGCAGTCCATTCCCCTCGATCAGGGAAGCATCCGAACGTGTTGTTGGTCAATTTGTCACATGGAAGGTCGTAGAAAGGTTTGGCTGAACAGTGAGTGACCCCCTCCCCAACACACACATTCACGCACTGAAACACAAAGGAAACCCGTGATTTGTAGCAGCAACTGCTGGTGCTCCTGTTCCCGATTGCCAACTGTATATCCAAGTTGTAGCTCTTGTCTTCTCACTTCTCTTTGTCCCTTTTTGGATTTTGACCTTTCCCTTCTTTGATTTTTGAATGACCTAATTGCTTTCTTCTTATGGAAATCATCTTAATAATTGATAGCACATGGGGATTTTTTTTTTCCTGAAAATGAAGTGCAAATTCTTGATTTACCTAAAAATACAAGAAAGAAAGATAATAATATGTGGTTATATTCCTAACACCATATATCAGCAAATCTTAGGATCTACTTGAATGGTTGTTTTTAAAGTGTTTTTTATTTTTAAATTATTACTATAGTCATTTTATAGTGAAGATCATATGTGAATTAAAATATATAGTCAGAGAACGCTCTAAGAAATTTTTTTTTAACTTGGGTTTTCTAGAAACAGTAGTATATGTGAAACTGATTTTTTTCTCCACATATTGTTAATTACTAATTTAATACTATCTGAAGATATTTTCTATATAAATTTTTATCCTCTCCTTCTAGGAAAAAAATTGATGTGTCTTTTATTTGTGAACTAATGATGAAATTTAAACTTTTTGCTCTCCTACAATCAATTGTTTTCGATGTTGTGACAAATGAACAATCAAGTCAATAACACCAGGGGGAGGGAGAGATTGAACAGTACGGGAAGAGAACGTAAATGAGAAGTTCCGAATTCGAGATCTTCCACTCATACTTGAAAAAAAAAAAAAAAATTTCAATGACACCATCATTTGATGCCACGCTTGGGCTCATGCCCATGGACTAATTGGTTCTACTTAGCTCATTTGTCGCTGCCCAGACCTGAGTGTTCTTGGACCAGACCTGCCCCGCTTTGGCTGATTAGGTAAAATTAAAAGGTATACAACAATTACTTGTCCAATTGAATATAATGGTCGGTTCAATTGAATTGAGAAGGACAATGACCAAGTAAACAAATGGTTAAAGCTCAGTGGCCACCGGTGGGAGGTCAGGGCCACCAAATTGTCTGTTCCTCATGGGTAATTCGGTTGGTTTCAGCAAACCTTCTTAGGAACTGGTGTCCAGTACCCGCAAAGATCCGAGTCCTGTGATTATCGTGTTCGGGGGGATGGGGCCTCTCCTCCCTAGCCGAAGTGGGATTAGTCGGGCCCCGTAAGGATTGACCCGAACACCCACTCCGCAAGCAACAAAAAAAAAAAAAAAAAAAAGTAACAAATGGTTTGACATTTAACCATTCCCTTCTTTTCTTCCCTTTGCAAAGTTTAGAATCTCTATTTTGATATTCTAAATATTTATGAACTATATATAAATTGATTGAATTATCAACGTAGCTCAAGTGGACAAATTTGTACCCTTAAAAGTTGCACAAGTCCGCTCTTGCTTAGCTTTATGCATTTACAATTTTTTGTTTATAACTAGACTTAATAATTACTAATATGAGTTTAGTCCCTTGTCTTCTCTAATTTTTGCTAGTATCTGTCTAATGTAGCACGTGTATAATCATAGTTCTGCCCCAAAACTATCTCGAATTAGCATTATTTGATTTTTACAACTAATGGTGTTATCTTAACATGGCTTCACCATTCAAAAATCGAGTCAAGTTTTTACTAAATTTTTTTTTGTTGAAACAAATAGAATTAGAGATTTGAAAAATTCTCGTCTGTAAATGTAAAATAAAAAAAGTCAATGTATAAATCGATCTTATTTTCTCATAAATTGAAGGAATTGTCAATAGGAGAAAGAAAGAGTTGTCCTCTTCACTCGATTTGATAAGACATATTCTATACACGGTTCAATATATAACTTTGCTACAATTGCTTAGACTAGAGTACTGAAATTTCTCCTCAATCATCTTTTTTTTTTTATTTTGTCATCGTCACTTTATCTATACTACCCTACTCTAATATAATCTTAGGGAGAGGTCTAACTAGATATACAGGAAATTAATGCGAACTAAACCACTATCAGACTAGACAGGTGCACTATGCACCCGTATGAATTTTTCAGTATAACCTATTTTCCAGTCATCACAGTGGTGATCTCCTGCCACACCCGTTAGTTGCGCGCCATCCATATTGTGACGACTGATCCCTTGTTGTCACTGTTGATGAGTGTACCCATGGTCAACTATGATGACATCAAAAGTTATCACTTAATTTTCGCAAGGGTAAATTCCATTTTGTCCCCTCAAACTATGCCCAAAATCTCACTTCAGTCCCTAAACTTCAAAATGGGACATTTAAATCCTTAAACTATATAATCCGTCCCACTTTACTCCAAATTTTGACAGAATGCACAAAACCTAACAGAATAGTTGCCAATTCATTTAGGTTATAATTATAATTTAATTTAATCAAATCTAATAGGGACATAAATTTAATTTCATGAGACCCAATATAAAAAAAAAACAAAGAGACAGAGAAATAAAGATAATTTTACCTCTTTAATAATAATAATTAAAGTTTTTCCCTTTTTTAAACAAAAAAACCATTTTTTTAAACTTTCCTTTTCTTTTATTTTTTCCACCTTTTTTTCTATTTTCCTTTCATTTCCTTTTCTATTTTTTTTCTTTCTTTCTTCACTGCCTTCTTCCTCCAATACTGCACATCCACCACTGCTACACCATCATCTCCCTTTTCTCCTGCCATCATCGTCCGCCACGCTTTACTACTTCATTCTCCTCCCCACTCCCCAGTGATGAATCCAAAAATAAGACATTTATCACAGAAGAAATCACAAAATGTTTGCCATACCAATACATCACCAATTGTACTTATCACAACCTGTAACTTGTTTTTTGTCTCCTCTTTGAATAGCCGCCCCACCCAATTTCTTATCCCCTCTTCTTCATTCACCCCACCAAAAATCTCTCGTTCCATACTTTCTCTATCAGCCTAGCCTTCCATTGCTCTATTGCTCTCCTCTTCCCACCACATGACCCACCACCAAGTTCTGCCCCTATCCCTTTCTCTCTTTTAAAACCCATTATTTTTCCACATTTATTTTGTGCTAATAAAAGTATTTAGTTGTTATTATTTTTTTCAATTTTTATATCATCTCCTAAATTCATTTCCATTTGTTCTAGGCACGACTAATTTTTGTGGGATTCGTGAATATGTTTATCTTTTACATAGGTTTGGATCTGTGAATAAGAAAATAGATTAAAAGTAAGAAGATGAATGGGTGTTCATATCCAAACCAACAACAGAAGGTAGTCTTGATGAGATTCAGATTGGGTTTGGGAATGTGTAATTATGTTGGAGTTGGAGGAGATTCTTTTTTCGACTCTTCCTCTTTGTTGTCTATAGCTCTAGGTTGTCCAAACTGAGTTGCATGTCTTGAGCCTCGTAGCTTGTTAATAATGACCCCAAAAATGTCAGACCCTCCAAAATTGTTCATACCAAGCATGTTCTTTGAATTTCTTCTTTCCTTTTTTTTGTTGTAAAATTTTTTGTTGATATTGATTTGGTTTCTGATATTTAATTATTTTTTTTTGTGATTATGTTACAAGAATTAACTAATGCAAGGCTACGAGTCAAGGGTAGGGTTAGAGCTTCTGGTGGCAAAAGGTGGTAGTGGGTGGCATGGGTGGTGTGTGGCTGGGATGAAGGGAGAGATGGGGAGGAAGAGAAAGAAGGTGAATGAATAATTTTTAAAAATTTGGAGCGTATCAAAAGCTTTGGATTTCAAGAAAT